ACGGGTCACTTTGACGAGACAAGGTCCATTTTGGAATTACAAATGGCGTTGCTTCATAGTCTGGGCAGAATTGAAATTTCAAATCGAGATCGGAATATCTGCGGAAATATCGCGCCATTTTTAGAACGATTACTGCGTCGCGAGATAATAGTGATATCTTCTTTTTCTCGAGAAAGTGAGAAATTCGCCGTGGTATTTTTTATACGAATCTTTTAAGCGAAATTTGAATTCTCGCGGAATAAATTCCGCCGTGTTATCGCTTCGAGGAGGAGAGGATTGCTTGCCGGAGATGATTAAAATACAAAAGTCGAGTGTTCTCTGGTTTATTTTCCTTTTTTTTTTTTTCTCTCTCCGCGGCACAGCGTTGGGATGGTAAAAGATAAAGAAAAGGAAAACGGCAGTTTCTTCGACCCTGTGATCTCTCGGCGGCACCAGACAATCTCGAGCTCGATCGAAACCGGCCAATGAATCAATAATTCCAGTATCTCCCGGCAATATCGAGAGGAGATTCGATAGTCGTGACGCAACGACGACAGGGCTCGGGTTTATTTCGGCTCGCCGGGTATCGATTAATTCCGGACGGCGCGACGCGGCGGAAAGAAAGTGTCTTGGCCTCTTAGGTAATTATGCTCGATAAATAATTTCGCTTTGTAGCCTGTTCCGGTGACAGAAAGCGAGAAAAAAAGAACGTCGGTAATTAGAACGAATCGATTACCATCGGAGAAATCCATCGGAGAGAATAGAGCGATTAAAGGTGTAACGTTGCAACCAGACGGAACAGATTTGCCAGAATCTCATTGGCAAATTCGCCGTTTCGATTTCAAACGCGATTACCATTTAAACCACAGCGGTTGTCTGTCGCTAACTATAGAAAATAATAATTCAGTTCTTTCTTCTTCTTGTCTGTATTAAAATTCGAATTCGGCTACGTTTTTCTATCTCTGCAGAATGATTAATACGCGTTTACATCGAAGAGAAGACTGTTACAAGAAGAACTAGACTTCGACACGAGACTTGGTAGAAAAGAATCTCGTTGATACTCTAAAACCAACTCGTAACACTTTGCACAGACCAGAAACCGCAGTCCAAGTTCTTGTCCATTCGACCGCATTACGAATCCCGATAAATACTCCTTAATTCTCCGCGCCGTTTCTTCCTTTCTTTTACCTTCGTGCACACACGAGCACCGAGAACCCTAAATTTCCCCTTCTTCCACCGAAAACGACCACACAGCCAACCAAAGAAATTATCGAGAAAAAAGAAGGAAGGAAATTACCATGGATTAATACACAGAAAGCTTAAGAATGAAATCTGGACTATATACCTCGAATTGGTCCAATTAAAAGCGTTGGCTTTGCCCGGCAGGGAATATCGGTCAAGCCAAGCTCGTGCTCAATTTCCACGTAACCAGTGTGCGCCTAGCGAACGCCACACCGGTAGGAAGCGTCTAGTTTGGCTAGAACGAGACGGAACCGCGACTTCCTCGTAGCAGGTAGATGCAAAGTGAAAGGAGTGGAAGCTAGCGTGTATTTTAAAGGGAACATACAGGTATTATACCTGTGTTGTCGTCGTCGTGGCTCGTCATCCTCGACGTCGGTAGAAGTCGCAACGACGCCGACATCAGCCGAGCATTCGTTCTCTTGACCCACTTACTTTTCCCTGATTCAACGGCCCAGATTCGCTTCCTGGCCGCTCGTACGCTCGTCGATAGGATCGACTCGATCCACCAGGCAGAGGCCTCCCTTCTCTCAATCTCTTCTTTCTTCTTTTTTTTTCTCTCTCTCCCTACCTTTGCTCATTTTCTTTCGCCTTCGTCCTCGTTTAATCGATTTCCCTTTCTAGAGAAGAAGGTGTTCTTCTGCGAGGAGAATGTCGGTAATGATTTTATTCAATGGGAAATGGTACGTGTCTAAATTATTTTCTCGATTACTACGTGGCGATAGAACGGTAGTGAAAATGCCGAGGAGCTTGGTGTTTTAATTCTCGAAAATTCTGAAGAGATTTCTGTCGGGAGGGAAGATTTTTTGGTAGGAAGAAGTCGGGGACATTGGCGAACGTACATCCAATCCCTGAAGATTCTGAAGAATTTTCTATCTAGGATACACATTTTTTGGTGGAAGGTAGGAAGAAGTCGAGGACATCGGCGAAGGTCCTTCCAGTACCCAAAGATTCTTCGCAATTTTTTACCTAGAGTACACACTTTTTGGTAAAAAAAGGCAGTGAGAAATCGAGGACATTGGCGAACGTTCTTCTGTTCTTAAAAAATTTTCATTAAGCTGAACAGTCGTCGCAAGAAAAATGATTCGGTCTTGAATGAAGAAAAACTCAGGAAACTAAGAAAAGGTGTACATTCTACACGGTTAAATCTGTCACTTCCAACCACGAGGAAACGAACGGTAGTTAGAATTGAACGATCGTCGAATTAAATCGTGTCGCGATTACGAAATATCCTGCGGTCGCTCTCGGAGGTTTTCGGCTTTCGACCTGGTCAAGGGAACGCAAAGGAGCGTGTCGAAGCGATCGGTGATCGCGCAATCGCGCCTCTCTTTTTCGTCTTTCCGATCGCGTTCGACGGAACGACAGCTGATTTCGCTGGGACACACCTGGTCCCTGGTCGTGATTTCAGGCAGCCGTGCTCGAATTGGATCACCGCCAAGGTTGTGCACACTTGGGAGAGCTCTCGTACAGGTCCAAAAAGGAGGCTCCGCGAAGTGAAAAGCGAACGAGTGAAATTTCCAATATATCAACTGCACATATACGCGTATATAATTGGAGAAGACCGGAAAACGGAACTAGTTGGACGTTTTATCGTCTAACCATTGGCTCGGACGTAGTAGCGATTGTGGGTAAAGCGAACGCGAAGGTAGGAAGGTCTGTGCCGGACTTTCCCTGATTGAAAGTGTTCTCGAAGCGTGGCAACGCGTTTAACCCCGTTTCTAACTCTTAACTAGCGATTGGAAACTCCTCTCTATGGGTTTTCCTGTCTCGTTATAATGCTATATCGCCGTAGCGAAACGGGTTACGCTCGAACGGACAGGATACTTGGAAAAAGTTTCTACCGGTAACAATGTCAAATTTGTTAATCGAAAAGAAACACGCGCAACTTCTTTACCAACCGAACGACATAAAAACAAAAGAAGCGCAGAAAAAATCAGTGATCAGACAGTTGTCGCTTGGAATTCGTCGGAGTAAAAGTAAATCGCCTAATTGGAACGAGCAGGTGAAAGATACGCGTGTAATCGAAGTATAAAGAGGGAGGGGGGGAAATCAGTGTGTTCCCGATGAAATATCGTCGTACACGAGGAGACACGTTTGATAGCGATCCGTGTGTCGTTACGTGTCCAAGTCTGGTGAAGCCATAATTATTTAATTGGGACGAACAGATGGAAGTTGGAAAGAGGGGAGAAGAGAAAAGAAATCCGTGCGCGTAGAGAGACAGAGAGAGGCACATGTACTGTTGGGCGAACACAGAGAGCTCAGAGTGGCCAGTGCTCTGGACGCGAGTAAAAGTGTGCCGGATTGTATAATCGAACGTGAATAAGCAAAATGTTACGCCATAGCGATTTGGTAACTTTGCGGGGCACCCCACCAACCAGACCCGGCCGTGTTCCCATTGCGGTGACCGACCACGCTGGACGCGAACTCGGCCGAGGGAAAATTCAAGCTGCGCTCTTAAGGGCCCAGCCGCGCCGCGTTTGCGAGTCGTAGATCGCAGGACCGCCGCGATCGATTTACGGGATTGCGTTACGCCACGGATACGGCCCGGATCGGTTTTTCTACTCGCGTTTACCGTGTCCTGCTGTCCGGTTGTATGGTAATTCGAGGGTGGAGTCGCAGTGTAACGTAGACATTTTAGCCTAATTTTTTTCTTCCAGCTACAAGTTGTTTCTTTCTTTAAGCCACAGGTATAATCTGACGAAAGTGACGTAGATACGGTTACTCCGGAAAAATGAACACCTTCGCTGCCACCAGAAGATCGACAGCACGCTGTCGGACGCATACGCTGCGTCCGTGGCAGCGTGCGTGTTAACCAGTTAGCTGTTTTTCACGAGTATTCTCGTCGTGAAGAAATGGCAATATTTTGCGTTACGACGAGTATACTTTTCGTTCAGGCCGCGTGGACCGTATACGTCTCGCGCTGTCGGGACTAACAGTTTTACTTTTGACCCTGTATGTCTTCTAATATTTATAAGATTGCAAAAGTCATGGTTATCAAGGAAAAGGTAACGTTTAAGATGCACTATAGAGCAAGGAAAAACTTATCGTCGTAGTTGCATAGTTTAAGTGAACGGAAGGAAAAAGCAGAAATATCGAACGGCCTGAACAGAAAGTTCGGCGTGGGGCGTGTACGCAATTTTAGTGAAAACTAAAATATATTCGAAAATTTTAAGATGTTCTGAATATTTGGAGGGCAGGACGAAATAAAACGAACAAATAAAA